TGCAAACTCTGTGCCAGGCACCATCTGAGCTGTGTGTCCCCCATGGATGGCACAAACCCTGTCTCAGTCACCACCCTGACCAGTTTGTGCCCCATGGATGGTACAAACCCTGTCTCAATCACCACTCTAAGCTATTTGTGCCCCATGGATGGTACAAACCCTACAGCAGGCACCACTCTGAGCTGTGTGTGCCCCATGGATGATGCAAACCCCATACCAGGCACCATTCTCACCAGTTTGTGCCCCATGGCTGGTACAAACCCTCTCCCAGGTTTTGAGCTCAAACACCATTTTGAGCTCTTTGTGCCCCATGGATGGTGCACATCCTCTCCCAATCACCACCCTGGCCAGTTTGTCCCCCATGGCTGGTACAATCCTTACACCAGGTACCACTCTGAGCTATTTGTGCCCCATGAATGGCACAAACCCTCTCCCAGTCACCACTCTGACCAGTTTGTGCCCCATGGATGGCACAAACCCTCTCCCAGTCACCATTTTGAGTTGTTTGTGCCCCATGAAGGGTACAAACCCCCTCCCAGTCACCACTGTGACCTATTTGTGTCCTATGGATGGCACAAACCCTCTCTCCATCACCCCCCTGACCTTCATTGCCCCATGGCTGACACAAACCTCTCCCAATCACCATTTGAGCTGTTTGTGCCCCAGGGATGGCACAAACCCTCTCTCCATCACCCCCCTGACCTGTGTGTGCCCCATGGCTGACACAAACCTCTCCCAATCACCATTTGAGCTGTTTGTGCCCCGGGGATGGCACCAACCCTGTCCCATTCCCCACCCTGGCCCGTGTGTGCCCCGTGGGGGTGAGGGTGAGGTGCCAGTGGGCACAGTGCTGCTGGGTGAGCTAACAGTGCTCTCGGTTCTCTCCCTGCTCTCCCCTGCACAGACCGAGGACCACCTGGCTCTGGTGAGTTCCCCTCTGGGTGTGCATGGTGTGGTGACACTTGTGCTGTTTGTCCCCTCTGTGGGGCACACACAGGGGTGGGCACTGGCTCCTGTGGTGGGATGTGGGCACCAGCTTGGATCCTGCTGCAGAAAATAAATCTAGAGGAAAACAGCTCTTAGGAAAACCCAGTTCCCTGTGGAAAAAGAGCTGGCATGAGCTGCAAAGAGCCAGTTTCTCCTCCAAGGCCAAAATTGCTGTGTTGGTCCCCCTGGGGAGGTCAGCCAGGGTCCCTTTGGGGACTGTGGAGCTGAGCTGGGCACTGTCCCTGCCCTGGAGCTGCCCATGGGGCTTGGCTGGAGCCAGCAGCACAGGGAGACCTGGCCCATGGCCAGCACATGAGAGACAGGGAGTAAATCAGGCTCTTCCCATATTAAAGATATTATTTAAAGCCCGTGGAAATCCACTCCCTAAACCTCCCTTGTGCACGGGGCAGTTTTCTGTGTTATTTTTATGGCTTTTTTTTTCCTCCTCTCCCTGGCAGCAAAGTGAATGCCACCTTGTTTGTGGCAAGGATTCACTCTGCTCTGTTGCTATTCTGGTGCAGGGCAGATGGGAGCCAGGTCAGGCCAGCAAGGGAAGGGCAGGAGCTGCTGCAGGATGCAGAGCACACAGCCAGGGAAGAGCTCTCCAAAAACACAGGAGAAAGCCAATATTCCTCTGGCAGCCTGCACTGAGACACTGCTGGCCAGGGCAGGGGTGGGCCAGGCATGACAGGCACAAATTCTGCTGCTCTTTGTGTGCCCAAACCCTTCCAGCATCTCCGTGCCTCAGTTTCCCCATTTATGGAGGGGGACCAGTCTTTTCCCCACTCCCCATGTGCTCATTCCTGATCCCTGTGGCCATTCCCTGGCTGCACACTGCAGAGCATTGGTGGAAATCCACTGGGGTTGGAATTTCCGGTTTTAATTGTTGGGCTGAATTAACCTGAAGTGAAAAAAGTCCTCACCTGTGATGGTGTTCACAG